GTAGATTTAGAATAATTTCTAATTTTTCATTTATTTTGTCATTTTGTTCTTGTATTTTCTTCTGAAAATTTTCTAGGGTTTTGTCTGTGTTTTCCTCAGTCTCTCTCTCAATACTTTGAAGATACCTAAATATAATTCTTTTGAATTCCTTATCAGGGAGTTCCAATGCTGTGTTTTCCTCAGGGATGTGTTTTGGGTCTTTACCCTGATGCCTTTTTTGTCCTGCTTTATTTGCTTCTTTTTGTGGACTGTGATACTCTGCTGTCTCCGAGGCACTGTGATGTTTTTGTGTTTATATTTAATTGATGATTGTATGTTGGAGTGACTTGTCCACGATTTTCATTTTGTTTTGTTTGTTTGTTATCTATGTAAGCAGGGTACTTTGCTGTGCTCCTCTATTCACTATACACTCACCACCTGTCTCCTTTCCTGTTGTCAGCCTCTTTTATGTCCCTGCCAACCTTGGCAAACAGAGCCTATTCTTAGGTCCCTGGAATTCAAATGAGAATGCAATCACTTTAAAATCCAAAATGGTTGCCACTTGTAAAGATTCAAAATGGCTGCGCCCTCAGTCACTTTAAATATCCAAAATAGCCATTGCTTGTAAACATTAAAAATGGCTGCACCCTCAGTCACCTTAAATATCCAAAATGGCTGCCATGTTTAAACAATCAAAATGGCTGTGCCCTCAAGACAGCTGAAAGTCAACAGCTCAGGTTGTCTCCCTCCTTGCTGTTTCCCTTCTTGTCAAAGGCCACCAGCGCAGTCATCCCTGCAGTCCTTGGTGACCAGGGCTGATCTGTAGGTCAATTTTCAGGTCCCAACACGACCTGGAAATATTCAGGCTGTTGGGCCTGACAGAGTAGCTGACAGTCCACAGCTCCGACCATCTCTGTACTATTTTCATTCAGGTTTTTCCACTAGTTGGTGCCTAATCCACTTCTGTATAGTTTCTTTTAAAGATTAGGCCTCCAGGATTATCTTCTGTATCTCTGTCAACTGGTTTTTCTTTTCTTTGTTGAAGAGGGTCTGTGTCGCTTGTCTGCCTATTCCTCCATCTTACCGGAATTCCAATTCAATAATTTTGACATGTGCAGTTTACTGATTAATTCAGTGTTTGATTACAGTTTTACTATGTAAAATTTTGTGTTTATATTTAATTGATGATTGTATGTTGGAGTGACTTGTCCAAAAAAGAACAAATTACAAAATGAACTGATCGATCTTCATCCATTTCAGGAAGTGGCATATGATCTAGAACCAATGGTAATGAAGGAAGAAGTCAAAGCTGCAATGAAAGAACTGGCG